GGAGCGGAGCACGAGTCTGTACAAGGAAACTGTATCTTGACACTGCAGGCACTGATGCAGGGTTTTATCTAAGTTGCCTGCTCTCCCGGCACTGTGGGAATTGAGAACAGACCGAATTTCATACAGGCTGCCGATATCTGTGAGGAATCTGGGGCACATAAAAGCAATGACCTCTATTTTTGCACTATAACCCATAATGGGAATTCAATAAAAATACAGAGAAATGATAGATTTCTGGCACTGCTGGAGTCATTTGGTTTATTTTATTATATCATTTAATCCATTTCAAAGAACATGTGCTGAGAGTTAATTTCATGTTCACTGTGGAACATAAAAATGAGGAAGGGTTGGCTTTTATCCTCCCGCACACCACCTACCTGCAGGACACAGGAGCTAGGCATCAATAGCCATGCATACTGAAATTGTATGGAGCCAGGGTCTTGAGAACACCAGGGTAAACTAAAGAAATTCAGTTAAAAGAGCCAGGGCTGGTGGTACAAGTGTGTAACCCCAGCAATGGGGACATGGGGATGGGGAAACATCCCAGGCTTAAGACTTGCTTAAGGTACAGGGTAAGTTTAAGGTCAGCCTCACAACTTAGACCCCATCTCAGAGGGAGGGCATTTGTCTAGCATGCATAAGGTTCTAAGTTCAGACTTAAGTATTGCAAAATAAATAAACTGAGTAAATCGGAAACACACACACACACACACACACACACACACACACACACACACACGTGCACACATTATACAGGAACTGGGGAATGCAGCCTAGGATCAGAGTACATGTCCATGCCTAGCCCTGGGTTCGGTTTCTAGCATTGCAAAAACAAACTCCACCCATACAAAATTTTCTTTTTTAAATACAAAAAGGGTTCACAGTCCCTCTTAAAAATAGATTCTTAAAAAAAAAAGATTCTTCTAGAAACTTGGTATCAAAAACTCAAATAGTCTAATTTAAAAGCCAGGGTAGAGATCTAAACAGAGAATTTGCAACAGAGGAAATGCAAATGGCTGAACAGCACTTAAAGAAATGCTCATCATCCTTAGCCATCAGGGAAATGCAAACCAAAGCAACTCTGAGATTCCATCTTACACCTGTCAGATGGCTAAGATAAAAAACACAAATGACAGCTTATGCTGGAGAGGACATGGAACAAGGGGAACACTCATTCATTACTGTCGGGAGTGCAAACTTGTACATCCAATATGGAAATCAGTACAGCAGTTCCTCAGAAAGATGGGAATCAATCTATCTTAAGATCTAGGTCTTAGGCACATCCCCAAGGGACACTCCATCCTACCTCAGGGACACCTGCTCAAATCAGTTTTTACCAGTTTTTACTTTTATTTTCTAAATTTATTTTTATTTTTTGAATTTATTCTTCTCTCATATACTACACACCCCGACCTCAGTTTCCCCTCCCTCCTCTCCTTTTAGTCACTCCCCCACCTCCCCTCTCCCCCAGATCCACTCCTCTTCCATTTCCCTTCGGATGTCAATCAAACATGAAATATCAGGTTGCAGTAAGACCAGGCACCTCCCTTATATTAAGGCTGGGCAAGGCAACCCAGTAGGAGGAGAAGAGTCCCAAAAGCAAGGAAAAGAGTCAGAGACAGCCCTGTTCTCATTGTTAGGAGTCCCACAAGAGGAACAAGCTACACACCTGTAGCTTACATGCAGAGGGCCTAGGCCAGTCTCATGCAGGCTCCCTGATTGTCGGGTCAGTTTCTGTGAGCCTTTATGAGCTCAAACTATCTCATTCTGTGGGTTTCCTTGTGGTGTCCTTGACCCCTCTGGCTCATATAATCCTTCTCTCTCCCTTCAGCAGAATTCCCTGTACTGTTCTGTTCATAATAACCAGAAATTGGAAACCACCTAGCTGTCCCTTAGAATGGATTTTTAAAAACCGTACATTTGCACCATGCCCAAAACTCAAGTCCAAATGGATCAAAGACCTCAACATAAAACCAACCACACTGAACCTCATATAAGAGAAAGTGAAAAGTACAGTTGAATGCATTGGCACAAGAGATCACTTCCTAAATATAACCCCAGTAGCACAGACACTGAGAGCAACAAGTAATAAATGGGACCTCCTGAAACTGAGAAGCTTCTGTAAATCAAAGGACACAGTCAACAAGACAAAATAGAAGCCTACAGAATGGGAAAAGATCTTTACCAACCCCACATCGAACAGAGGTCTGATCTCCAAAATATACAAAGAACTCAAGAAAGTGGTCATCAAAAGAACAAATAATCCAGTAAAAAAAATAGGATACAGACTTAAACAGAGACCTCTCAACAGATGAATCTAAAATGGCTGAAAGACACCTAAGGAAATGCTCAACATTCTTAGTCATCAGAAAAATGCAAATCAAAATAACTCTGAGATTCTATCTTACACCTGTAAGAATGGCCAAGATCAAAAACACTGATGACAACTTATGCTGGAGAGGATGTAGGGTAAAGGGAACACTCCTGCATTGCTGGTGGGAGTGCAAACTGGTACAGTCCCTTTGGAAATCAGTATCGTGATTTCTTGGAAAATTAGGAAACAACCTACCTCAAGACCCAACAATACCATTTTTGGGTATATACCCAAAGGATGTTCAAGCATACTACAAAAACATGTGCTCAACTATGTTCATAACAGCACTATATGTCATAGTCAGAACCTGGAAATAACCTAAATGTCCCTTGACAGAAGACTGAATAAAGAATATGTGGTACATTTACACAATGGAGTACTACACAGCAGAAAAAAATGACATCTTGAAATTTGTGGGCAAATGGATGGATCTAGAAAACATTGTACTGAGTGAGGTAACCCAGACCCAGAAAGACAAATATAATATGTACTCACTCAAAACTGGCTTTTAGACATAAAGCAAAGAAAAACCAGTCTATAATACACAATCCCAGAGAACCTAGACAACAAAGAGGACCCTAAAAGAGACATACATGAATTTAATCTACATGGGAAGTAAAAATAGACAAGATCTCCTGAGTAAATTGGGAGAGTGGGGATCATAAAATAAAAACAATTTTAAAAAAGAAAAAAATTATAAAAAGTAATTTACTTAATGGAGTATTACTCAGCTATTAAAAATGATATCATGAAATTTGCAGGGAAATGGATGGAACTAGAAAAAAATCATCCTGAGTGAGGCAACCGAGAAAGATAAATAAGGTTATGTATTTGCTTATATCTGGACATGAGTCATTAAATAAATAAAAGCTGCAATCCGTAGACCCAGAGAGGTTAGCCATAGAGGAAGGGACTACCAGGGATACATGGATCTTCCTGGGAGGGGGAAATAGAATAGATTTTATGGGTAGACTGGAGCCAGGGTGGGAGGAGGAGTGAGAAGGGAGGATCAGGTGGGAAGGGAGGGCGAAGATGGGATTGAGAAAGGGAGAAGATGGGATTGAGAGAGGGAGACAGTTAGAACTGAAGAGCATTTGAGGGGCAGTACGGAAACCTGGTGCAGTGGGAACTTCCTATAATTTATCAAGGCGATCCTGAAGAAGTCTCCAAATAGCGAGGGAGACAGAACCTCTTACGAGCCATCTCTTGTTACCAAATGAAGTTTCCAGTGCCAGGATTCATCCAATTGAGTTGTTGGCTGAGAGTATGGTGGAAATCATCCCCAAACCCAGGTTGTTGCCAAGATAGTAGGTTGCACTCCACAAACTGACAGCAAAGCCCTATTGCTGAAAGTACCCCCCCCCCAACTCAGTATTCAAGGAGAGGTCGAGCTGGTGCCTGCAAAGAACTTTTATCCCTCTGTTCCAACGTCTAGGAATGGAAAGGCACTTTGCAGACTATCAAACGAGAAAAGGAAACACCAACTCAAACACAGAACCTTTGATCTACAATCTGTCCTGCCTGCAAAATATGCTAGGGCAATGGTGGCACAAACCTTGTGGGAGTAACCAACTGATATTTGATTTGACTTAAGGCTCACTCCACGAGATAGAACACATACCTGCCACTGCTTGGATAACCAAGAACCAAGAGACCTAAGATAAAACAATGTACTACTGGACCTAAAAAGTAGTAAAAATAAAATGATTCCTGATGATATTCTGCTATCCTCATAGATAGGTGCCTTATTCAGTCATCAACAGAGAGGCTTCCTCCTGCAGCAGATGGGAACGAATACAGAGACTCACAGTCAGACAGAGTGAGAGCAAGATATAGAGAGAGTCAGAGAAAGACAGGGGCGGGAGGGGGAGAGACAGAGGGAGAGAGAGAGAGAGAGAGAGAGAGAGAGAGAGAGAGAGAGATCTTAGAACACACAGCTCTAAATGAGATGTCTCCATCAAATCCCTCCCCTCAGAGCTCAGGGTATCCCAATAAGAGGAGGCAGAGGAGGTGGAGAGGCAGAGGGGATGGAGGATACCAGGACAAGACCCTCTAGAATAACTGAGCAAAGTTCACATGAACTCAGAGACTGAAGCAGCAAGCACAGGGTCTACACAGGTCTGCACACCAGTTCCTCTGCACATATACTATATGTTCCAGTTTAATACTTTTATGGGACTCTGAAATGTTTAAATGAATGGGTCTCTGATTCTTGGGCCTTCTCTTGTGGACTCTTTTATTTTTCTGTTGGCTTGTCTTGTCCAACTTCAATATGATGGTTTTTGCTTTATCTTATCATATTTTATTTTGCTGTGTTTTGTTGTTATTGCCTAGAAACCTGTTCTTTTCTAAGAAGAGACAGAAAGGGAGTGATCTGGATAGGAGAGGAGGTGGGGAGGAACTGGGAAGAGTAGAGGGAGGGGAAATTGTATTCCAACATATTGTGTAAGAAAGACTCTATGTTTAATAAATGGGAGAACAGATTCTTGTAACAAACACCATGCATTTGTATGGAAGAGGCTCTCCATGCTCTATAGTCCTCACTGTATTGCCACAAGTAACAATGGAAAGACTGAAGGGCATGACATAGGAAACTCAATCTTATACGATTTTCTTTTCATTTCAGATTTGATGTTCAAAATGAGAACGTGGAATTAAAAGACAAGAATGCTAGATTCAGTGTCTGTAAACAAGGCTGGGCTAGAATGATTTCTATTATGACAAATATTAAAAAATAGTCCTTTTACATCTCTGGCTGAGGACTATGCAGAGTGAGGCTGAATAGAAGAAACCAAAGCCCAGCCATCCAGTGCTCATGAAAAGTGGATTACTGCCTGGTACGGAAAACAGCTATTTATGGCTAGGCTTTAGAACAGACAGTGGAAGACCCCTCCTGATAACTCCGTCCTCAACACTGAGCCATAGTCTCCCGAATGAGTGTGAGTGTGAGTGTCACATCAGGAAACAGGGAGACATCCGAGGCCAGTGAAGCTAGTTTGAGCAGCCATCACTTTGCAGAGAAAGTGAACTGCAGCAAAATGAACAAGATGAACCCCAGCAGAACCAAGGGAAACACCCACTTACCACGCCATCATTTTGCCGAAAAGGGTGACGTAGAGGGCATTGCAGGTCGCGGCGGAACGGCAATGTTGGTCTAGCTGCTTCTCCTACACCAGTTTCCAAATAAAACAAAACGGAAGTAAGAAAAGCAGGCGGGGTCATTGCTCCTGGGCCAGCCGCAGGTCCCAGTAGAAGGAAACTGTCTCTGTTCTAACCCTGATGTCACAGGTGTAACGGAGGGAGCCTGGCTGCAGCCACACTTCCAGCTGCTGAAGGAAGATGCAGCCAATAGAGAAACACTTTTCATTTTGTAAGAATACCTACTTAACACTACATACTCTTCCTAAATGCCAAGATATTTGGGCTGCTTCTTCTATGTCTGTCATTAAAAACAGAATGGGGGTAACTTGGAAGGTAGCTCAGAGGATAAACAGCTTGCTCCGTGAGCATGAGACCCTGAGGTCAGATCCTGAGGAGCCCACATTAAGAAGCTGGGTGTGGTGGTAAATACCTGTAACCCCAGCAGTGGGAGGTGGGATAGGGTAGGGTGGGATGGCAGAGACAGGCGGATTCCTGGAGATTGCTGGCCATTTAGTTTAGCCCAATGCTGAGCACCTGGTTTAGTGAGACTCTGGCTCAAAAAACAAAAAAAAAAAAAAAAGGGGGGAGCAATAGGGGATGACATTTAACTCCAATCTCTGGCCTCCATATGCATACACCTACATACACACAGGTATACACATGCATACACACGGGTGCAAGTACCTGCATATACACATGTATACACATGCATACACATGGATGTGGGTACCCACATAAACGCAGGTATACACATGCATACACACGGGTGCATTCACCCACATACACACAGGTATACACATGGATGCATGTACCGCATATACACAGGTATACATATGCATACACACGGGTGCATGTACCGCATACACACAAGTATACACAGGTATACACATGGACGCATGTACCGCATATACACAGGTATACATATGCATACACATGGGTACATGTACCACATACACACAGGTATACACAGGTATACACATGGATGCATGTACCCGCATACACACAGGTATACACATGCACAGCACACACACACAGTTTAAAGGGAAGAATTATTACCAAAATAATCACTGAAATCCAGATTTCCTCATGAGAACAGAGCTCCTGTATTGAATTTGAAGTCTTCTGGCAGAGAGTGGAGAAAGCAGTGAAGAGGGAACGCTCACCTGCTCTCTGCTCAGCGTCGTGTCTACAGAACTGCATTCTGAAATTATTATCGATTTTGCATCTTTGGGGCTTAAAGGATCGAGATGCAGTGTAGGCCACAACCTTTTGTGTAAAGAGGAATAAAGAAAACAAATTTTTAACAATGCAACAAAGACCATAATCTACCACAACACCCGTTAAAACCATTAGATGAGTTATTTTTATGCAATTTTACAAAATAAGCCTATGGAATCTGCTAATCCCATTAAATTGTTGCTTAATTCATTCTAAGATTTACTATTACACTGACCAATAATCAAAGCAGTGCCATAAGCTACATCCTTGCTGGCTAAGTGGGGAAACATCTCTACTTCTACCTTCAGGACTTGCATTAAACTAGCAGCAGGTACTTCGTGCTCAGGGGGAGCAGTTCAAGACGGTCTCTGCACTCGGCTTCTCACAGGGCAACTGACTGGGGATAGGGAAGATCTTATGCACAAAGTACAAATATACACACATATCTGCTTATAGATGCACACGACATACAGTGCATACACAGCATTAAAATTTCTTAAGAAGGCTTGATTGGTGGGAAAAGGCTTTTTTTTTTTTTTTACAGGAAAGGACTTTTACAAGGTTTTTCTCTGGGTAAAAAAAAAATAAATAGGTTAAGGAACTGTCCTCCAGAATTCAACCCTTATATCACTTTTCTGAGGGCTGTCAATAAAAGGGAGCCTGCATTCTAGAATAGTGGGTCTCTAGACTGTATTTCTCAACCCCCCCCCCCCCCCGCCTCCACTTTTCTCACCCACAAATTCACTTGCTAGATGTCTTTACTTGGATTAACAATTTACAATTCAAACTAAACTCTCCCAAACATGCCCAGTCTGTGTCTCCCTTTCAGCTCAGGAAGTCACAATTAGCTTTCACTTCTTCATTCAGACAACTTGCAGTCATTCCCATTTTCTCCTTTTCCCTCCCACCTCAGCTCTGACTTCACCCCCAAGTCCTGCAGAGGGTGCCTTCTCCTTGAGGTCACCCACCCCTCCCCAGACTCACTGGGGATGCACACCAAGGACCTTCCCTTGCCTGCCTGTGAAACAGCTCTCCCTCTGACTGAGGGACCGGACTCTCCCGCTGAGAGACCCGACTCCACGCACTCCACGTACCTCCACGCTGCCGGGCAGCTCTCCACATTCACAGAGACAATGACTCTGACATTCACTGGCAGGGGGTCTATCAGCCACTTCATGTGCTTCTCCACTTGCTTAAAACAGACAGCAGAAGTCAAGTTATAACAACAGCATTTCAGAGTAATTCCCGGAGTTCTCCAATAGGGTACCATTCTTATTACACGTTCCTTATTGAGGACACGACTTTTATTTGGGAATGGTTGACCCTAGGTTGGCAAAACACTGTTACCACCAAATTTGAATTCTGGACATGTAAGGAAATATTTATGCCTCAAAAATATGTCAAAATAAATACTTTTTGCTAAGTATGTAGATTTATTTGATGTGACTGTCTGTGAACATACAGTATATATTTTAATTCACTTCTTGCCCCGAAATTAAGTAGAACCAAATGGAACAGCATCATTCCCTTCCCCCAGCATGGAACTGGGATGCCTGCTGTAGACATCACTGGTACTCTGGTCTTCTAAGGCATCTGCTAATAGAACACAATGGGAGAAGCACCTGAACTTGATCTATGGAATCAATGATGATGATGATGCTGCCTTGATGCCGAGCAGAGAGCTTTTCCAGCCAGTGTGGAAATTCTTCCAGAAGCTTAGCAGGATCCAGGGTCAGTGCAGAAACGGCCCAAAAGTGCTGCATCAGCTGCGGAGTGACAAGGTGACACCACATGCAAAGTAAATCACTGGACTCCATGATAGCAGAGAGTGCTTTCCATTCTCACTGTGCACATCAACGCTGACTCCCCACGGTGGTGGTGTCAAGTGCTAGTGAGTGCGTGCGTGCGTGCATGCGTGCCTGCGTGTGTGTGAGTGTACATGTGTGCACCTGCATGTGAGGGCCAGAGGGTGATGTTGGGTGTCCTCAGTGGCTTCTCTACCTATCTTTTCAGACTGGGTCTCCCACAGAACCTGGAGTTCACTGACTGGCTAGCCTCGTGGCCAGAAAGTCCCACGGATCCTCCTGTCTCCGTCCACCCCCTTGTGCTATGGTTATAGACATGCATGCTGCCATGCCTGAACATCTACATGAATGCTGGGCTGCAAACTCAGGTTTCTACGTGCACGGCAGCACTTCCCGACTGGGTCATCTGTGCAGTCTGTAAGTCATACATAGTTTTGAAAGATTTATTTACGTTTATTCTATGTGCACATCTGGGTACCATGTGCATGCAGTGCCCACAGAGGCCAGAAGCGAGTGTCAACCCCCCTGGAACTGGAGCCGCAGATAGCTATGAGCTATGAGGTGGGTGCTGGGGACCGAATCTGGGTCCTCTGTAAGGCAAAAGTGCTCTTAGCCACTGAACCGTCTCTCCAGGTCCAAGGACTACTTTTTAAACCTTACACAAAACCAAAATAACTGTCACAGGTTAAATATCCCTCATGCAAGATGTTTGGCACCAGAAGTGTTTCAGATTTCAGATTGTGGGCATGTGGAGAATGTTTGCATACGATAGTGAGGGATCTTGGGAACAGGACTGAAGTCTAAATATGAAGTTCATAACGCCCTCTACAATTAGCCTGAAGGCAATTCTAAGCCTTCCAAAGAGAGCCAGTGTTTTAATCGTGACATGTCGCATAAGATGAGACATGGAATTTTCTTCATGAGTTGTCATGTTGAAACTCAAAAAGTTCCAGATGTCAGTTGGGGCTGTAGCTCAGCGGCAGAATGCCTGCCTTGCACGCACAAGGTCCAGGTTCAATCTCCACAACTACCAAAAAGTTTCAGATTGTAGCAGCTCCGATTTCAAATTAGTGATGTTGTACCTACAATCCCGAAAGCCTGCTTATTATTCTTGTCTTGTCCCCAAGAGCCCCAGAATCTGCATAATATCCAGGTGGCTTCAGATCGCTCGTGGCATACCTTCAGGGTCAGCCGCTTGATGATCAAGGAGGGCTCCGAGCTGGTCGACATGGGCCGCCCCACAAAATGAGACAGGATCAGCGTGTTAGGGAAATGCTTCTGCTGCAGCTGAATCCTGAAAGAAAAACACGGGACTTTTATAAACTCTCCGCAACAACAAATACACACAGAGCCAGACATCAAATGTGGCTCCAGTGTCCTTAATTACATGGTTAGTCACACTGGAATAAATAAGGAGATTAGTGATTCCACTCTATTTTTAGGACCTTTTAAACTAATAGCCTCATTTTAATTAGCAGATGATGTTAATTAACATAAAATGTTAATAAAAGGAGCATTGACTTCTAACTAAATGCAGGCTGTTAGAGGAGGTGGATACTGGGAGAGAAGGAGTTCAAGGTCATCCTTGGTTGTACGGGAGGCTGAAACCAGACCATTTTGTGCTACGTGAGACCCTATCTCTAAAAAGACAAGACAGTGAAAAGAATGGTTTAGTAGCATTGGATCATACCACTTTGATAAAAGAAGGGACTTTCCAGACCCTGGTCCTCCAGACACCAGGAGGGGTGGGATGGGAGCTGGTGCCACCACCAGATCGTCCAGGCGCTGGTAATACTGGAAACAAAGAAAGGATTTACTTTTTTACTGTAAGATTGCACACGCCTCTGAGAACAGGAAGTGGAACTGACATTCTACTTCTGTAGGTCCTCTGAAGACACTAGAGGAAGCTGAGAAAACAGACTTGCGGTGGGCCAACAGCACATGCGTGGCTGCTGTTCTGTACATGGCTGCTTAAAGCAGGAAATGAGCCCCGTGGCTTTGCTGTAACAGTGTGAGGGGGAGTATGAACTGTGGCGGGTTTTTATAACGTTCACATGTTTGGTGAAATGCTGCAGAGAGGACATGGGGTCACACTGGAGCCCCTCAACCACAGGAAGTGTCCCCCTGCAGGCCCAGGCAGCAACCTTAGATTTCCTCAGCAGAAGAA